GCCAGGTAACGTCGATCTTTCTTCTGCTTTTGTAAATGATTTTTCTGCAATTAAGTCGACTTTTAGCTAATATTCTATCAAACTTATTAAAGCAATTAACTAACTCTTAGTAACAAATCCAGAATTTAACAGTAGCGTACCCACTTATGTATGAGCTTAATTTAATACTTTTCAGGGATTCTTGTAACGGGTACTATTTTTTGTGAAAGAAGGTTTTCTGGTAATGTACTGTTTGGTGGATGAAATAATATTGGAAAAGAACTGAAATTGAATTATTTTATAGGTATATTGAAATGATAACTTATTTAATAAGTGACAATATATGATTTTAGCTTATCACGATTGTAAAGAATTATAAAATGCAGATCATATTTGATGCAATTTGTTTTTGTTTCCTTGTTCGAGCAGCTGTTTTTAGTAACCTAGAGGCTTTTATATGCTGTTAATTCTTAGTATGTTTGATTTTCAGCTGATTAAAACATGCATTTCTTAGAATGTCTTATTGTTGATTTTTTTGACTTGGCTGTTTTGTTTACTCTGATGAATAGCTCGTTGCATCTATATATACCAATGAGCATTAAGTTTTTTTCTGGATAGGTCTTCAGAACTTATTTATCCTCCTGATTAGTAGCGGAGCCAGAATTTTCACCAAGGGGTATCAAAATGTAAAAATTAGATATACCGAAAAGTTATGGGGAGTCAACATATAGTAAATATACATAAAACAGAAAATTTTATCTAGCAATACAATGTAATTTTTCGGCGAAGGGGGTGTCAATTGACACCCCTTGGTTGAATGTGGCTCCGCCACAGCTCCTGATAGATTACTTTCTTCGAGGAATTTTATTACCTTGATTCCTTGAAATTGCAACATTTGTTTTTTTTTGGGCATAAGTAAAGACGTTATTGAGGTGCTAATCTCCATTTGTAATTTTGAGCATCTGACCTTGAAATTGCAACATATGCGATGTATGACTAATAAATAAGGGAGAAGGAAGTAGTCTAGGGCAAGCTTTTCCAAATTTCCGGGAAAAATACCCTTCGAACCATGTCATTGAAAAGAAAGTAAGAAGGTCAAAGCTTCATTACTGAATAGGTTGCTGTTTCTTTTTAATTCCCCTCTCTTATTCTATTCCCTGCTACCTTATCTGTTTGCTTGTTCCCCGGTTTTATGTTTACTCTTTATTAAGGTTTAATAAATCTTAATAAACATAAACCCGGGGAACAAGCAAACAGATAAGGTAGCATATTAGATAATTTCTACTGGAAATTGTTGCTCCCTGATTGTTACTATTTGATGCTACTCTTTCTCCCCTTTTACTGGAAATTGTTGCTCCCTGATTGTTACTATCTGATGCTACTTTTTCTCCTCTTTTTCCTTATCGTCTTTTGTCTCCCTCTTCTCTCTTTCTCCCCCCTCTTTCTTCTTCTTCCCTTTTCTTCCTTTCCATCTTTTCTTGAGCCGAGGGTCTATCGGAAATAGCCTCTCTACCTCTCCAGGCAGGGGTAAGGTCTGCGTACACACTACCCTTTCCAAACCCCACCTGTGTGATTTTACTTGGTATGTTGTTGTTGTAAATATTAGATAATTCAATAACATCAGTGTGTCACCCACTTTATGCAATTGGCTCCATATATGATTACTGCCTTTATGTCTGAACTACTTTCACTTAATCAGCGAGTGTTCTGAGTCCTTAGCATATTGCTTCAACCCCCATTTTTTTGGTTTTCTTTATGACGTTTCACATTTGAGCAAATACACTGTGCCTTCCTCTCTCTCTCTCTCTCTCTCTCTCTCTCTCTCTCTCTCTCTCTCTCTCACACACACACACACACACACACACACACACACTCTCTCTCTTTCACTCTCTCTCTCTCTCTGTTGTTTCCTTCAATGAGTTTGTTGAGAATGTTAGTTGTTGCCTTATTGGGATAGTTTGTGGCCATGGTATAAGTTTCCTTGTAGTTATTTCAAAGTACACTGTCATTTGACCCACCTTCCTGAAGATTGATTAGGTTTTCCTTTGCGCTTTCCAGATTATCTAGATTTCTGACCTTCCCTCAGTGGTATAGGTTGCTTTATGCCGCAGCGCAGATTGATTTTTTTTCCCAAGGTTACTGAAACTTCTAAGTATTTCCTGCAGAAATTTGAATCTTTTGGGAACTCTTCAAGTGCCTTTTCTTAATTTTGGGATGGGGGATGCAGAGTCTCTTCAACCATCAAAGAAAAGGGCTGCTGTAAAGGAATTATCGCGAGATAATCCTGGGCTTGATGATGATAATGAGTCATCTGAGCAGGAGAGTGGAACTTTCAAGAGAGCAAGTGATGAGGTGATGGCAAGTAGGAGAATTGTCAAAGTCCGTAAAACGCCATCGACTACAACTACTCATTCTTCTAACCCTTTTGCGGGGATTCGATTTGTTCCACCTACTGATGCCAGTACAACTCCTGCTGTGACCACAACTAAAGTTGTGATTGGGACAATAACTTCCAAGAAACCAGAAGAATCAAATGATCAAAGTGAGGCAACTAAAGAGGAAGAACCTTATGTGAATAGGGAAGCTGATCATGAGAAGGAAACTGATGGAAAGGCTAAGCTACCAGAAAACGGATCTGATGAGTCCAAAGCTGATGAAAATGTTGATAAGGAGAAAGTTGATAATCCCAATGAGCCTAACATACCTGAATCTACTGAAAAGAAGGCAGCGGAAAGTGAGAAAATCGAAGATACCAAGGCAGCCACAGTAGTGGAGAAGACTGCAAATGATGTAGAAGTGGAAGGCAATAAGACCGAGAATGAAGAGGAAAAACATGTGGGCAATGGAAAAAATGAAAAGGGTGCTGAAACTGCATTTTTTAGCTCGTTCCAACAGCTCTCTAGTAGCCAAAATGCTTTCACAGGACTTGCAGGAACTGGGTTCTCCAATACTGCGTTCTCGTTTGGAGCTAGTTCGAAAGAGGGATCTCCACTAGGATTTGGTTCTGAATCTGGTGCTGGTTCTGGTTCTATCTTTGGAGTAAAAAATGACCAGTCATCTTTTGGTCTTAGTCTTCCCACTAATGGAAATGTTTCTCTGTTTGGTAACTCAGGTTCATCCAGCGTTAACAAGGGCGAGGGAATTGGAATTCCTTCCATGCAAGAGGTTCCTGTTGAAACTGGGGAGGAGAATGAAAAGGCTATCTTTACAGCTGACTCTGCTGCGCTGTTTGAATTTCTTAATGGAGGGTGGAAGGAGCGTGGAAAGGGAGAGCTGAAGGTCAATATATCTTCAACTGAGACTAGAAAAGCTAGACTTGTTATGAGAACCAGAGGAAATTACAGGTTGATTTTGAATGCTAACCTTTATCCTGAAATGAAGCTCACAAGTATGGATAAAAAGGGTGTCACTTTTGCTTGTATGAATAGTGCTGGTGACGGGAAAGATGGACTTTCAACAATTGCTTTGAAGTTTAAGGATACCTCTATTGTTGAGGAGTTTCGAGCTGTTGTGATGGAACATAAAGATAAGATGACAGGCTCTTTGAAGACACCACAAAATTCTCCTTAAACTTCAGATGACTAATAATTATGGCAAAGATGCATATAGAGATTCTATTTTCATCACGAAACTGGAACCCAACCCTACAGTTTTCCCTTTTATCCCTTTGCAGAAAGGTAGAGAGAATATTTTGTCTAGAGATGGATAACTTGTAATCCGATATAGCAAATAGAGTCTTCTCCGTTATGATGTTGTTTCTCTCTTGTATTTCTTCTCCTTTTTTGCTTTGTTGGGATATAACCTGTGGTTTAGCTGTCTTTTGCATTGCTTTATTGGCATGAGTCGTAGACGCGCCGCACTAGCCTTCGATCTCATTCTATCATTTTCTGATGTATTTAGTTTCTTTTTTCCTTTTATTGGGCAAAGTTGTAAGTTTGTAACTCATCGACCTCGTAGAAAATATGCCTCCGGTGCTCCTTTGATCCTTCCTTTTTTGGTTTTCCATGTGGTCTCTTGCCCCTGCTTTGGAGCCTCGATTAATCCGGATTCGTTGGATGAGGTCCACTAAATGTGGAAATGCTCTTTACCAGGAGTTGTTTCAATTTCAGGCTTCGATCGGAGAAACCTGATAAAGGATGAAAGATCATATCAATACCACCACAACCTTGATGGTTCAAGTTTCGCACCCAATGGTGTAGCCTAGGGGTCAATGAAGTGGTTGAGAATATGAGATCCTTTATTTTTCAGCGGAGACAAAACACTAGGTGATTTTTTTCCATTCTGTCTAAGCTTTAATGGATTGAGTTAATTGGTACTTGTTGCTTGTGGAATTAGTTGGGTCTGCGCAAGTTGGCCCGGACACCACGATTATATATAAAAAAAAAAAGTTGCAAGTTGCTGAACTCCCATCTCAATCACACTTGAGTATTTAGATGACAAACCAGTAATCTTCCCACAGAAAACAGTGTCTTTATTCTGTAGAGGTTATTGTACTATAAAATGTTCTTGACTTGTATTTGTTGTACTAAATTTGCTTAATTTGGTCTTCAGTGCCTAGCATTATTTTTGGATGAGGAGTGGATCTGTCTAATAGATTTCTCCTTTACTAATTAGTTAAAACTGAATGTAGTCCAAATCCTTTTCTTCAGAGAAAGGTTGGTTCCGTTCACGTGCTATCGTTTGCTCTTTGGCCTTTGGCATTTCCTTGTTCACGGGTCATGCCAAGACAACGAAAAATACTTGAAATTAATAGGACGAGATACATTGCCTGCCGCATTTCAGCAAATTAACCAATTATAAACTGAGCTTCACGCAATTCAATAAATACAGACTATCATATGCGGTTTGTAAATTGACAGAAACTGATCATAATGCGTTTGATTTTCAGTAATTTTTTTTAAAAAAGTAACATTTGCCATTAACAGAACTGAGCCTGTGACACTACACAAATGTGCTTATTGATCATTGGGTTGTCATTTAAAGAATTCCGTGATTAACTATTAGATGGTCAAAACTCAAAAGAATCACCAAATCTGAAGTTTACATAAATATCAGGGAAAGCTAGGAAGCCTCAAATTCAGAAACACGTTGTTGTGAATTACTTTCCCACACTGGAAAACAAGATAATAAAAGAAACAAAAAAGAAAATGGGAACTGCAAAAAGGCAAAAAAAAAAAAAAAGCTAAGTAAAAACGAAGAGGATAATAAAGTCCCATAAAAATATAAAATACTCGAGACAGTAGCAGTGCCACTTCTAAGGTGAGGAGTAGTTCTTGGTGCACATTCTTGAGCAGGATCCAACACAGTCATCCATTTTTCCGCCATCTAAGAAGAAAGAATAACAAGAAAAATGAATTAGAAAAACAAACATACCAAGAGATAGATACAAGCGAAGAAAAAAAAAAAAAAAGACAGCCCGTGCACTAAGCTACCACTATGCGCGGGGTCCAGAAAAGGGTCGAACCACAAAGGTCTATTGTACGCAGCATTGCCCTGAAAAAATGCAAGAGGTTGTTTCTACCACTTGAACCCGTGACCCCTGGTAGAAAAATACAAGCAAAGAACAGAATAAAAATACTTATGACCATAAGGAGGCTAGCAGGGGGAAACTTACTAGGTTGATGTTTTGAGCTGAGAGTGGAACAGGTAGAGAAGGCACAACCTAGCTTGCAGAAGTTAAGGTTTTTACTGTCTGGTTGAAGTCGAACATCATTGTTTGAACTGGACGTGGCAGTAGAAGTACTACTATTATCAGAACCTGAATTAAAGATGCATTCTTTTAAGCATCTAGAGGTGCAAGTGCAGAGATTTTGAGAAGGTTCAATTAAGCAGAACACAAAGCATTTCGAGTAGCAATCCTTAAAGTTTGTTAAGGAGGCATTCGACTGGCCTACAAAAGCAACTAATATCAAAATAAGTGCCCTTAACTTACTTAACTCCATCCTTTCTTTCACTCTTATTTCAGAACACAATAACTTCTCGCCCTATGGAAAACCTAAAAGTGTGCTTATATAGAACTGTAATAGCCAATATTCACAAGTGGCAAACATGCATGCATATATATATAGTATTACCTTAGTAGTGAAAAAAGATTCAACGATTGTGGTATTTGGTGTTGGCTAAAGTTGCGGTGACATGTGATGGTTTTTTGTCTTTGCTATTGCTGTCCTAATATAGGAGTAGGGTTAATTTCGCTTGTGGTCACTCAACTTTGTTCTCAACTTTGTTTCAATTTCATAAAAGTCACTCAATTTCCGTTCATAACTTAAAAATTATTCAACTTTAGTCACATCACTTAAAAGTCACACGTGATGAAATATGGATATATCATCACCGAAAAAATGACATGGCAAACTTTTAATTATTTTTATGCCACGTGAGCAACCAAGCTATAATTTATGTACAACTATCTAGTACCTTTAAAGGAAAAACATTATGGTTACAACTTTTCACATCCAAGCAAGAACAGGCACAACATGTATTAAATTATCCAATTCGTTGTTAAAATCCTATGTGATTGCTCACGTGGCATAAAAAATAACTAAAAGTTTGCCATGTCATTTTTCCGGTGATGATATATCCATATTCCATCAGATGTGACTTTTAAGTGATGTGCTCAAAGTTGAATGACGTTTAAGTTACAAACGGAAATTGAGCGATTTTTGTGAAATTGAAACAAAGTTGAGTGAACACAACCGAAACTAACCCTATAGAACCGTAATAGAGGTGGTTAAATAGGACAAAGCATGAGTAAGTACAGTTATGTTTTCTCATTTTCTTAATACTAGCAATTACTAGAGAAAAAGAAATAACTGGGCGTAACATAGTTGGAATTAATTTCATATATAGCTACCATCTGTTACTGCAAGTGCTGCTAAGTACGTAGAGCAAGACAACTTTGCTTCTGCCTTCTTGTATAGTTGTAACTAAGCTTTTTAATTCAGATAAAGTTCGTTCAGTTGTAACACAAGATGAACAAATGAGTTAGTTCCTAGGACAAAGGCGTGTTCCAGACATAATTAATCATTAAAAAGTACCTTTTTCTTTAATAACTTAATTTTTAGATAAGATAGTCACGTACACTTAAATATATATATATTAACCACCCTATGAGTGATGACAATGTTATTTGCAATTGGGGCCGGATAATGATGCCAGTTTAGTTAATTATTGCTTCTTGAAATATTGAGCGACCTTCCTAGAGTTCAAGAGCATGTTATAAAAGAGCGCAATGACATGGCTTTGTAAAACCTAAGGTGCCGCTCCTTCTAGCCCAAATATTAGTCGTTTAATAAAAAATAAAATATTTGACATTTTATAGAAACAAAAGTTACTCCCACTCTCTATTTCAAATTAAATGAGATACTTTCTTTTTTAGTTTGTTCCAAAATAAGTGACACATTTCTAAATTTGAAAATAATTCAACTTTAAACTCTTCATTTTACCTATTTTACCCTTAATGAGAAGCTTTTATAACCACACAAATGTCATGACCCCACAAAACTTTTACCCCTTAAGCTTTTAAGACCACAAGTTTCAAAAGTCTTCTTTTTTTTCTTTCTTAAATTTCGTACCGAGTCAAACTACATCATCTAAATTGAAACAGGGGAGTATTTATTAAGCAATAGATGTTAGTAAAGTGAAATGTTTAATAAAAGATAAAAGTACCCTTTAACTCAATCCATATATAACTATAAAAAGTCAATGATCTTCAAATAAGAATGATTAAAGAAAGTAAGTTACTAATTATTCATTAGAGAGGACATCAACAACAAATCCAGTATAATCCTATATGTAGGGTGTGAGAGGGTAGTGTGAACGCAGATCTTACCCCTGTTTGACCAAAAAATATAGATCTTGATTCAACTAATTAAATTTATATAAATGAAGGTTAATCTTAGCTAACAATAATATCCCTAAGATGGAGTTCTCGAAAGTGCAACAAATACTACGTATGTGTATCTGAATAATAGTTGCGATATGCAATAAATATTTCAGAAATCAAAGGCAATAATATAGCATTCAATATCAATGAATAGCAATAAATGACATTTAAGTAAATAGAATGAATGAGTCACCCAAGAAAGGATGGAATCAATGAATGTTCTTTCTGACAATGATGAGTGATCGAAAATCCTTTGAATATCTAAGTTATTCTCGAATCTAGTAGAAAAGTGTAACCAAGAATCTTAGTGAAAAGATGATATTTGTATAATAGCAATGAGATCCGATTCTCTTTCTCCAATCAAAATGTATTTTTACAAATGAATATCACATGTCCCCAATCATTATGTGTCTTTCTATTTATAGAGAACATGTTCCTAAAAATCCTAACAATACAAGTGTAGAGAATATTCACTAGAATATTCTCTTTTGTATCCTATCTCGAAACTAGCCGTTACAGATCTGTTACGGGTGCTAGACCTCGGCCTCGATGACAACTCCTCAATGTTGGTCTTGCTGACTCTTCGACCGCAACCTTCGTTGATAATTAGATTACTTCGGCACGTGGTATCCCAGGAATGTTTTACTAACACCATTTCGACTAAAGATGGATTTTCACCCATACAGTTTGTCCCTTCTCTTATCGAGGTCGTTCCCGCGGACGAGGTCGGTGAGCGGACAATGTCGTTCATAATTTGATTTTATAGAGTTGGCTGAGGTCGTAGTCGTGGAGACAGGGCTACGTGGCCTTCTGAGGTCCGCATATTTTGGATTTTTTGAATTACCCGAGGAGTCTGTTGGAGCCATTTAATCCAAGAGAATAAGTGACGTCATGATACTATGTGTCATAATGACGTCGTTTTCCGACGCATTGCATCGGTTTATATGTGACCCTTGATTGGCTCTGTTGTTTCGATTTCCGTGCTAATCATGACCCGTTGTTTTGATTCCGGTGCCTCTCAAACCTTATAAATAGGGGAAGGTTTGTTGGTTTTGAAACTTTTCCAAACTCTTCCTTCTTTTTAAGCAATAGTCTTTCCTTCATCTTCTCTACATAACTCTTTTTACTCCTTGTTTCAGCGACTTACATCATTTCCCATTCCTTTTTGCTTGTCATCCTCCTTCGTTACATTGAATCATGCCTAACGAACCTTCTGAGGCTGGCGAGGGGAGTCGTATTTCTCCCTTGGCAGTGGTGTTCCCCTCCCATGAGGAGAGTGTTCCTGGCACCGTTGAGGATGGAACCTTCCCATCGGTGGAAGAGATAATCCCACGCAACCCTGATTCCATATCCGATTTCACCAAATTACTAGATGCCGAACCTGGAGCCTTTTGGTCAGTGATGACGGTGAAGGAATTGGAGGAGCTTAAGGCTAAATTTGGCCTTCCCAATCATATCGAGTTGATCCCGGCCGGGTGGGATACGGTGCAGGTCTACCGTCCTGGGTATTGCACCATCTATGCCTACCCCTTCCAAGTCGGCTATTCTCTCCCTCTCCTTCCGTTGGAGGAGGAATTTTAGTCGTCACTACGATGTTTACCCTGCTCAGCTCGCACAATACATTTTCAAAGCCATAAAGATGCTCACCAAGTTTGTTGAGTTGGTCCGGGTCGAAGTGACACTGCGACATTTAATCTATTTGTTTGCTCCTAGCTTTTATAGGGGGACGTTGCTGAACCTTTGCCACCGAGGGGACAAACGCCTGGTGGTGAAGATGGACGACAAATCCAGTCATCAATTCTGGTTCAACTTCTTCTATGTCAAAACCGAGGACGTTGTGACCAATGTCGACGGCTTTCCCGAGGCTTGAAACTATACTCGTAAGTATTTTGGTCTCTTTCTCGTGTTTCGTCTTGAATTTTGACTTCTCGCCTTCTTCTTTTGCAACCAAGACCTCGCCTCCTCCTTTAGTCGCTCATATTACCGACTGGGTAGATCGGCTCAACCCTCATATCGTAGGGATTCGTGAATGGCCAAGTATTTTCAAGAAGTTTGGGCCCGCTCTCCCTTCGACTAGTAATTTCCTTTTTACCATCGGTGTCTTAACTCTTTTTTCTTTGTTTACCTTCGCTGATTTTCCCTTCTTTTTTTTTTCTTAGCTTCGGTCAGGGGATCTACGAGGAGGTCGAGGTCTCCCACACCTTCGTTCCAGAAGAGGAAAGCTACTACGTCCTTAGTTTCTGCTCATGCTTCGGCTGATTCTACCTTCATTCCAGTCCCTCCTATTGTTGCGCCCGAATCTGTCCCTACTTCGGCCGTGGAGACTTCGGTTTCTCCCTTATATTCTCTCATAGACAAGGACGACGAACCTTTGCCCGGTGATGGAGATTTAATACCTCGTAAGAGGAGGACCGTGGATGTCGGGGGAGAGAGGTCGACGACCATCGATGTAGGAGATTGTGGCCTTGTCCTTCGGGAAACGGCCATAGTGCATATCAGGGAGAGCCCAAAGGCAAGTCCTGAGACTACTTGTTTGGAGGACATGAATATGCGTCCTGTGGGGGATACAGTCGAAGGCATGGTGAGCAGTGCCGACCCTGTTCTTCCGAGACACAAATAAGCCTCGTCTTCCGAGGTTGCGGCGGACGTGCCTTCTTCGACCGATGATAGAGGGAAGGTTGTTACTGAGGAGGATGTTAGATTCGATTTCGACATGGATGTAGACGAGTTGAGGATGATCGACGAGGGGCTTACTCAACTTGAAGTGAGGTTAGAAGGGGGTTCAAGGACTATTACGATCCCCATGGATCGTAATCTTCTTGTGGATACTGAGAAGATTATCCCTTCCCTTGTCCCTCTTTGTTCTAAGATTGATGATACGACCCTCAAGACTATAGATGACAACACCCTATCAAATAAAATTATTGGTCTCGCCCTTCAGGTAAGTACATTTGTTGTCAGTTATTTTCCTTAGGTTTTGTTCTTTCGTAGTCTCTAACTTCCTTCATTCGTTTTATAGACGTTCTTCTTGGAGATTGAGAGTGCTCGTAGGGAGCAGAGATGGTTGAAGGACAAGTACTTCAGATGCCTTGAGAAATACCGGGAGCTTAGATGTCGGTTTAGTGAA